GGCAACTGGTCCTCCAACTGGAATTCCGGGGCCGGCAACTGGTCCTCCAACTGGAATTCCGGGGCCGGCAACTGGCCGGTTAGTCTTTTGCATGAGCCGTTTGAACGAGCCCCCACTGGTTGAATCGTGGCCGATCGTGGGCGGCGGACCGGCGGTCAACCAAGATCAGTGGCTAAGATTGGCCGCATTTTGTGTTTTTGAATAGAGGGGCCTACCCCGGGTCTTCTTTTTGGTGGGGGAGTTGGGGGGGGATGCGAGGGCAAAGAAACGGACCAGGCCCCAAAAACAAAAATCCGGCCACCTGCGAAAATGCACTGGGGTGAATCAGGAGCTAACCGGGGGACGGACGACTGGCACAACCTCCCCGGTCGGGGGAGGAGGTCCCGGCCCAACTGGGGACCAACACTGGTTTCATTGCTTTTTTTCACCCGTTTATTGTTTCCTTTTCTACTGGTGTTTTGTCATGTCTTTTTAGATTTCTTTCTTCTGTTTTTGTTTCTGTTTTAACTTGTAAGATGTGTTTGTGAGCTTTTGTCTCTTTTTTCACCTTTGTTCCGTCTCTTCTTTTACCTTTGATTTCTCTCTTTTTTTCACCTTTGGTATGTCTCCTTCATACCTTTCCTTGTCTCTGCAAGAAACCCAGTACATAGGGGCTTGCATGTCTCTTTCTTTCTTTCTTTCTTCTCTCCCTCGCTTTTCTCTCTTTTCTCTCTCAAGGGCTAGCATGATTTCTTGGCATTGCATTCGTCGGATCTTTTTTTTTCTTTTTTTCAAGATTCAGAGCTTCAAACTTCAAACTCGTCTTCTCTCTCTTTTTCCTGACCTCTGTTTACTTTCTTTTTTTTTTTTAAGTTTTGCCAACTTTTCCCGTCTGTTTTGCCTCATTATTTTTTCACCTTTATTGTTCTCTTTTCCGAGCTTTGCTTTATCTCTCTCTCTCTCTCTCTTTCCTGACCTCTGCTTACCTTGTTTTTTTTTTTTTAGTTTTCCCGTCTGTTTTGCCTCGTTATTTTTTACCTTTATTTGCCACTCCAGCTTCGAGATGCAACAATCCATGGAGAATTTGAACAGGGGGCAAGTTGCATATTGCCAAAACAGGCAGGCAGAGATGAATACTGAAACAGAGAGAGAGAGATTCTTCTTGTCCAGCTTCTTCTGTTCTGTTCTGTTCTTTCTTTCTTTCTTTGCTCTTTTTGTGTTTTTGTCTTCTTCTTTTGTTTTGTTTTCTTTCCCAGAGGTGGAGAGATGTGCGGCACAGTGTACATGTACACGGGCGTGGCCTACGTGAGTACACATATTCATGTATTAACCATGTAGGCACATATGCAAAAAAGGCCCGGAATACGTGTGCGGCACTGTGGCTGTGGCCATTGGGGGGTCTTTGGTTTGGGGGCCGGAGGGAAGTGATTCTGCTGCAACAGAAGTATTTCCGCTGCAGCAGCAGTAGTTCTGCTGCAACAGAACTGGTGCTTGCTGCAGTGTGTGTGTGTGTGTGTGTGTGTGTGTGTGTGTGTGTGTGTGTGTGTTTAGAGGGGGTGTGCTCACAGGCAGGACATGTCTCAAATGCTATGCCAGACCCGCTCTGACGTGTGCTCACAGGCAGGACATGTCTCAAATGTGATGCCAGGCCAGCTGCAAGCACACGTCAATGATGCATAATCTGAAGAATTTGCAAGTGTATAGTGAGAATGTTTTGTCAGCAGAACTAGGTCATGGGTGATGGGCATTTTGCACACACACACACACACACACACACACACACACACACACACACACACACACACACACACACAGAGAGAGAGAGAGAGAGAGAGAGAGAGAGA